CGGAGACATCAATATCCACTTCCAGCAACAGCAGCAGCGGCAACAGCAGCAACAATCACAGCACCGTCACTGTCACATCCATATCTCCAACTAACGAAGATTTGTCCGCCGGGCTTCACGAGACCGATTTAGTATCGAACAGTCCCGAATTCAATTCACAACCGAGATCGATCGAACTGGATTGTCATCCAAACATGTGTGCCATGGTGGAGAATTTTTGCAATCATCCAATCTCAATTCCTCCGTATGTCTCATAAATATGCGCCAACTCGGTCGTATATACACACAAGCGAAAATAGTGACTAACAAATGGATCTTTAATTCCTGTGGATTGTTTCCGCTCTCATCTCCCTCCTCTCTCCCCTTCAGTCACCCGTCTGCTCCCTCCCCCACCTCCACCCTTTCACCGACTACAACTGTAACTGAACAAATGCAATTGTTTTTTCCTTTGGACAGTGTGTGAGACTATCTTGATACGGGTTATTTTTCCCCATACATTGCCCCCCCCCCTGATGTCCATACACAGTTCATATCTCAGTTGTCCGTACACTTATTAAATGGTAATCTGTTAGATCAAGATGATAGTGGTGATGGTGCTGGTGGAGTACCGGTTTGATTGCTGTCACCAGTATGCTTTCGACCCTATGACCCGAGTCCCGCTACCGACAACGCCATTCAACTTTAGTGGTAGGCAGCTCGGTTTTCGTCCGGTTCAATACGATGCCCAACCTATCGGGGCCTTATGTGGTTTACCACTCCAAGTCCCAGGGCTTAGGTTATCGGCTTNCCGTGACTAAACAGTAGGTCCACCTGAATATGGGGCTTTCGGCGTCTGTTTTCATCATATTTGCAAGTGTTATAAAAGAAAAACGGTTGACGTACGTATTCAACTGTACCATAGTTCGTACCTAATCAAATCCCTCCTACAGAGAATCCCCAAGACTAGTTATTCAGCTGTTTCACTTCAGATAGTTTTGGATCTGATCACCAGGTGCAGGGCTTGTTGCTGGTAAATTTACTGATTTGACTGATCATCCTTCAGACTTCAACTTCAGTTTATCGATTCAACCATACAATCGGAAACACTAGACTCGAGTTTCGCTCTTATTAGAGCTCATCAGTAGTGCATATCCACCGTCCATTCGGGGATTTGAATTACAGACCCATTGCATGGGAGGTGTGTGCGTGTGTTACCACTGTGCCAACCAGCTCATGCTATGACTGAACCAAATTGCCAATTCATGTTCTGGTGTTGTCTGCAGTGATAGTCAGTCAATTCATTTGGCCCGACAGCAACGAAGGGAGGCACAGATGACAACTCCAATCGAAAGTCTCTCACCAAACCAGGACTTCCATGCAAGTTACGGGCTGACTTGCCACAAACCTACCGGGATTGATTAATATTAGCATTTGACTCACAGTTACTTGTGAGTAGTGTGTGTGGGATAATTGATTTTTATTCATCAATGATCCCACACTCAAATACCAGTGTACTTCGCTTTTTTCTTAACCCAAAAGACTTCTTCACGAGTAAATGATATACGTTGGTTTAGCCGGGAAAAGAACGTTTAGTAGGCTCGATTAGCGCACTGCAACCTCAACGAGTCCAGGTTCCGGAAAGGAGAAGACTGTAGTTCTTATAGGCATTGATATTGGCAATAGGCGGGTCGAGGTAACGTTCCAGCATAGTTAACAAGCTCCCATAGACAGTAGTGCACAAACATATCGTCATCAACTCGAAACGTACCAACATTCCGGCTAATACCACACAATCAAACCAAATACTGAGATTACATACATACAAATCTGTATCTGATTCGTGCCAATAATGTGTTTCATTCCATAACCGCTGCCACGCCCACTTAGCCGAGAACAGAGACCAGTTGCATGAATGCCAAATTACAACCGCAATCTCTCTACATACACACATTAAGGGGAGCCACACATCGTTTAGTTCGGAATACGCCAACAATGCGTTTTATGGGTCTTTGCAACTGATAACTGTGTTCATGGTTTCGTACGAAGATTGAAATAGTTCGCCTACTGACAGAAACCTCCTTAACCTAGAGACTACTCCCAGCACAAACGTGTATATGTCATTGTGAAACAAATGCATATCCCTTGTGGGGGGTCGAAATGCTTTACCTAGTATGATCGATACCAGATCCAAAATATTCATCATTTGGGGTGGACGCGCTAAATTCAGCAATTTGGTGACGAGAAATTTCATCACAAATGGCAGTGTGTGCTGCATTGAGCTAGACAAATATTCACACTATTCAGTTGAATAGTGCCTGTGTTGTGCCTGTGCGTTTATTCCTTGTGCCAGATTTCCAACCATCTAGGTGTATTGGATCTGCATCAAAGTTACCGACTAGGCATTGCTCGGATAGGAGGTATTTGTTTTCTTTACCCCAACTGTGTACATGATTGTTTGCTTTTGTACACAAAACCGATGCGCAACCGACAAAACGTCCCCGTTTGAAGACCGAGCCCGGGATATGGTTTGGCGGATATGCACTGGCCCACCCACCCCCACCCCCGTGATGCCTTCTGCACACACAAACACACACACACACACATACACTGGGAATTACGCATTCGAAGTGTTGTGCAACATTCCACCGAGTGTTGTGTAGTCATTAAGGGGGTAATTTATTTTTGTTTATTTGTAGCAAACTGATGGAGTGAAGGCTTATTATATTCAGTTTTCTGGGTCACCTCGTAAGACGCATCCCCGAGTTGCCCCTTTTGGGGTTTCACGGATCGAGTTCTTAGTTCTGTCTGCTTGTCTTTATTCACGAATTCCAACACGTTCTAAGATGTTTCCGTAATGATCATCATGAACGATTCCATGTGTTGTATTTTTTTCTTCAACCACGGCTGAGATTGCAAATTTAGTTTCATTTGGTCTTTAATTTATTTTGCAGTACTCTCTCTCTGATGTATAACCACGTGGAGTGGGAATTTTCTGCCAAAATATTTCTAGGGAATACCGATGTTAACGCTATCTTCGGTTTCCCGGGGCATAGTCGATCGTGTTCGGACCAAATTAAATGCTATAAAAAATGATGTCTTTTATTTCCTTCGTCTATTTATCGAATATACAAATGTACAGTCAAATTTCAGGAAGGGAGCTGCAGCCATACAAAGGCTACTTTACATATAAGAGGGGCACTCGGGGGTCTTCTGAGTATCCACCAGGGGGACTGAAATGAATTTTTACATACAAACTTTTGGATTGATTTATAGAGTAAAACATTACTATGGTAACTACTGACGTGGGAAATCTTGTACCCAGACTTATAATGTATGTGATTCAAACCAACATACGTTGGTCATTCAGAATAACGCAGGCGGATATATCAAACAAATGTGAGCATTACAAGTTGGCCTTAGCATCAGCGAATAGTCAAAGTTCTTTTAGTCTTTTTTATTGATATTTACAGTGGTTGCGAAAAATAACTGTCGAAGGAAACCAGCAGACAGTGTTTGTATATCGCTTGTGCACTGTTCAGTTCTCTTTCCACTTGTGCGTCTGGTTGCTTGTGTTATCTTCGATTCTGTTCGCTTCCAGTTGAGCAAATGTTTCAGACCTCTTGCAGTGTGACAACTTTTCACCCCATAGAGCATGTTGTGGTTGTCGGTGGTTCACGGTGCTTCTTTACAAGCAAACATGATATCTGATTGGGATGGGGTTTGTCCTCTTGACTATGGCGCTAACCTCTGCTGCTCTTTGTCACTAGATGTAATAAAAATATAGGGTACGATTTAAAAAAAAAAATAAAAATGATATTGCTTCAACCGTGATTACGTTTTACCCACCAAAAGCACGTCTCGTTTGTCTCATTTGTCACGTCATTTGGCAGCTAACGCCAGTAATGTCGCTGACAGCTTTGCTGTCGTCTGATTCAATATGCAGCCTAATCCAGCGGGATCTTATGTGGTTCATCACTCCTCTTTCCCAGGCTTAGATTGCCGGTTTTCATCACGAGACTATAGGGTCCATCACGTCTGCTGTTCATCAGACAATGGAATGGAAAAATTAAAGTTTAACATTTCCGATCGGATTCCAGTTTGCAACCTGCTTTGTGCTAAACGATTGGGTGGTTCCCTGCTGCTTAATGGCAACAGAATGGACAGTGACGACCAATTCGCATCCGGTTGTACATGCACCCAACGATAACAGCTCGTCTGAGAGAAACTGCGAACGTTACATTGGGCTATTCCACGGCTAGAGGTTAGCTCAACGAACATCTGCTCTTAAATAAATCCGAAAGTTACATATAGGGTTCATTTTCGACTCCGTTCCACCGAGTAAATAAGATGCTACTCAACGAAATGTGGCAAGGTCAGCTCATCCGAATTTCTTGTCTTCTACCTAAAATATATATGACTGAATTCATGCATAGTTTCGCTTTATTTTATCCAGAACGAACAGTATTCACTAATTGAAACATACAGCGTTCCAGATACGGTTAATAGATTCTTTCTCATCTTGATATACTTTGATGCTTGTCCGAAGCGTTCTGGTGCAAAA